ATAACTTATAAAAATCGACGATCTATTTTGATTTTTTATAAGTAATAGCATGTGACAAATTAGCATCACGTGGTTTCTGGCCAACTCTAATTTATGGGGTCTGACTGTAAAAGTTTTCAGTACAAAATTTAGATATATTCTTTCTACTTTGTATTAATGCAAACATTAATTTTTGGACAAAAATTCATTAGTATTGTATTAGCGCCATCCCTATTTCACTCCTTGAAAATGATTAATACTGTATAATCAATTAGTAACCATTACTATTGTACTAAATTCTATCATTAAAAATATTTTGTTCCTAAGTTTTAACTTCAAGATATAATTTATAATTAATATTTATAAGTCAATACTGATTTAAAGAATAATCTGTTTACAAAAATATAGTTTTTAAATCAAAGTTCACTAATATGTTCGAATACAAATTTTTAGACTTTACTGCACAATCAATATTTTCCTTTAAAGCCAAGTAATTCCTCAAATTTATATTCTACTAAACAGATTCAGTTTAAAATTTCATTTAGCTTAAGAATTTTCAAATCCGGATTCTATATTATCAAGATTCACGTATGAAATAAACATTATGAAAACTTATTTCGAAGGTGATAACCTTAGTATTGGAGTTATAAACAATGATTTTTTCGATTTAGATATTTCTAATTCATTTACAGTCATTGGTTGATCTTACTTATACCGCTGGCCCTAGAAAGCATGTGATGGTGAAATCAATGACAATCAAATTTTTTTAATCGGTGGAACTCTTTATTAAACTTTTGTTAATTAATTTAAAATATCATAATTAAAATGGATTTTCATATAGCAATATGACTTAAAGTAGGTATGTTTATTTCAGTAAAATTTGATAAAATTGGCGAAAATTTATTTAATCGTTCACACGAATTTATTTACTAGCAAAACGTTAGTATTAAACATCGAAAGGATTTTCTTAAAAAAATTTAATCATGTAATTATTGAAAAATAATAATTGAGAAGTAATTTATTTAAATGCAGCGCATTGGATGGCTACATGACGTTTTTAACCACCCAGATCAGTGATGTAATTAGTTTCGTCCAAAGGAAGACGATATCGTATTCGTTCAATGGGAAGTTGGGGTTAAATTAGTTAATCATATTTTTTGCACTGATTTATCAATTTGTTATTGTTGATCAATTTAACTATTTAATAATAGCGGAATCCCAAGAGTTGTATCACTATGTAAGAATTATTGATTTACGACTTTCCTTTACGGGTAGGAACTAAGTTCTAAATTGACAGTTAATTACATGAGCTAGCTCAAGAATATTAGTCATTAAATCTCAAAAAGTACTTTAAGCTTGAGTATATTTGTTATTATAAAATTTTATTTAGTAAATTAAGAGTAATGTATATTTAATAATTTTATTTGTTTTTTTTTGAGTCGTTATGTTACACTTGATTTTGTGATTTTATTGGCTAATGTTCAACAAAAAATGGTGATAACAATAAAGTATAATATTTGCATATTGACTAATGATGCTTAACGAAACTGTTGAAACCTGACAAAGCAATTTTACTTGTTACATATACTGTAAGCCCTAATGGTTTATATTTTGTAATAAATTTTGTAGAGTTATTATAGCTCTATAAGCGATGCTGCAAAGCTATTCCTTTGTAATTTTAAAGGATTTTAAATACTGTAGTGACTGAATTAAATCTTATTTTATTTTTAAATGCCAAAATTAATTTTGTACTCTTGTTTGTTATATAAACTAATTTCAGGTTTAAAAAATAAATCTAACACTAATATTATTTTAACCTTAAATAAATTTTTGTATATTAATCTGTTCTTTATTTTCACCTTTCATTCAAAATTTTTATAAATATTTTCAAATGAAAAAGAGATAGTGATCAAATGATTGGAATCTACAGTTCGTTTGAATTCACATTTTAATTCTAAATCAGAAAATCTTTTAACTAAATAATTTTAATATATTTTCAGTATTGTCTAAAATAATAAGAGTCTCAGGGTGTGTAAATTTAGAAGAACCAAACTTTTGTAAATCTTGTAAGTCATAAAAATGTCTATCACTTGAATAGTTATCAATTACACAAATACCACTACTTCCAATTTCAAACTTGATATTATTTATGAGATAATTACAACAGCAAATAATCAATTCTTCAAAGCCCCAAATAATGTTATTAAGATTATTTCGAGCAGTTTCTAAAGCTGATGAACAAATTACTATTGATTTTTTAAAAAAAATTTGAAAGTAATCAAGTTCTTCTTCAAGTTGTTTGCAAGTAATATTTTCAGATTCAGTAGGCCATGCAACTCTTCCAGTTTGATAGAATTCCATTATATAATAAAATGCTTCACCATTATGATCAAAAAATATTTATTTCCTTTAATTGAATGTCTCAAGCTTCTATTTTGCTCTTGAAACATTGTTACAAGTAAAGTTTCTGGTTATGCTATGAAAGTTGATTTAAAAGTTTCATACTATGTAATAAATTAATAAATATATACATATACATAAATATTACATAAAGAAAATATGTTCAAAGATTTATTACTATACTAATACAGTACCTTTTTACCTCCAACATTTAAAATAATCTTTTTATCTAATATATTGATTGGGGCCTGAGCAAATATAATGTTGGCCTGAGAATTTTCAGATCTTAATAACATTTCAAATGGAAAGAAAAGTAATGTCAATTACAAATAAATCACTATAAGGAAAACTATATATTCTTTGACAATTCCATATTAGCTCTAATTTAGAAAAAGTATACTAATTGCTTTTTAATTTGTTTTTCTATATTATTCAGGATATAAAAAGTGTATCCTCTAAATTGGATAAGATGACTATCCAATTTATTGTTGTTATTGATATAAATTCTTAAAGAAATTTTATTGTCAAAGTTTACATAATAACTAATGATTATTTGCTCAAGACTTGAAATGAATCAATTAATTGTATTTACAGCAGTTTCTGATGCTAATTAAGAAAATATTTTTGATTTAATAATTAAATTCTTTTTTAAGTTGTTAATAAGTAACTTGTGACTCTTTAATTTCTGTGGGCTATAAAAGCTTTCTAGTTCAATAAAATTCCATTATATAATAAAATACTCTGCTATTATAATCAAAATAATATTCATTTCTATTAACCAAAATTTCAATATATTCAATTTGATCTCAAAACATTGTTCCAAGTAAAGTCTCTGGCTGTATTGTGAGTATAGATCAAAATGTTTTATACTACATATTATATATAAGTAATACAAACATACAAATTTTTACTTATCTTGTAAGAGATAAGTGAAAATTTGTATATTTGTTTTAGGAGGTGACTGAATAAGTTACACAAAATTATTCAATAATTATATAAGACATGTCTAATAATTAGATTTAATGATATTTATTTTAACTCATTTTTTTTGTATAATTAGAATCATTTATGGATTATGATTATGCTAGCATGCAATGTGGCTGGAACTGAAAAATTGAAACTATTAATAATTGGGTCTTTAGTTTTTCTTCATGAACTTCATAATATTAATTATAACAAGCTCTTAGGAACTGGCATTGCTCGGGTTTTAGTTTTTAATTTTTTGCTAATTCTTAGGCCTAAATAAATTAGCTCTTAGAACTAAGTATTATTAAAATTTAGTTTT